AGCTTGACAAAGATTCAAGGAGTCTCAGATGATGCTTTCAAGTTAAGGTTTTTTCCTTTCTCACTTGGGGGTAAAGCTCACCTTTGGGAAAAAAATCTTCCACATGGATGTATCACTTCATGGGATGAGTGCAAAAGAGCTTTCCTTGCTAAGTTCTTCAACAACTCAAGAACATCTAAGTTGAGGAAGGATATTTCTAGCTTCACACAACAACATAATGAGCGTTTTGTGATACTTGGGAAAAGTTCAAGGGCTACACAATGAAGTGTCCTCATCATGGCTTTTCTAGTGAGGCTTTTCTTAGAAATTTATATAAAGGAGTGTCACCAAAATTTTGCATGCTCCTTGACACAGTAAGCAATGGACATTTCTTGAGAAAGTGTGCTGAAGAGGGTTTTTAATTAGTAGAGAACCTTGCCCAAAGTGATGAGAACTATGCTGATGAATATGACTACTTGTCAAGAGGAGAAGCTGAAGACAAATCACAAGAGGAGATCAGGTCACTTCACGCCAAAATTGATTTGCTACTCCAAGGCAAGCCTAAGAAGATGGACTTTGTGGGAAACTATGCTCAAGCTCAAGTTGGGGAGACAGCTTTGGTTGCGGAAATGCACTACCTTGGCAACAATGCTAACCAGCAACAAAGCTTTCACGGCAATGGGAATCAGCAAATTTACCAACAACAAGGCAACATCTATACAACTCCACTAACTCACACCTACCAACAACAAGGCAACCTCAACCAAGGTCACCAAAGCTATATTCCCAAGAACCATTTGCAAGGATTACCAGCCACTTTTACACCTCCTCAACAGCAAAGTGGCGTCTCCTCCAGCAATGATGATGCTGTGAAGACCATGCTACAACAGCTTCTTTATAGCCATTCTAACATCACTACAAAGATGGAAAACCCCTACAAGGATCTGCAATGCAAGTATGAGACACTTAATTCTAAATTTGAAGAACTTGCTAATAAGAGTGTCACTACTCCTTACTATCTCCCACAACAAGAGCAGGTTCAGGCAATCACCCTTAGGAGTGGTAGAAACCTTCCACCAAGAGAAGCTCCTCCTCAAATCAATGCGGACATTGAGGATCAAGTTGGGAAGACTGTTTCTACAAATAAAAAGGATGTGGTAATTGAAGATGAGATAAGATCTAGGGAAGGCAAGGCCGTGGCTGTTGAGAAAGATAAGGAGATCCCAAAGAGCAAATAAGTAGTCTTCACACCTCCACCTTACAAACCTCTTTTACCATTTCCAGGAAGGTTTAAGAAGCAGTTGGTTGAGAAGTATCAAGCCTTCTTTGATGAGTAGATTGAGAAGATAGAGATTACTATGCCTCTACTTTATGCATTTATGCTGGTCCCTCCTTATCAGAAATTTCTCAAGGATGCAGAATTAAAGAGAACTAAAGAGATGTAAGGGATGGTGATCCTTTTACATGAGTGTAGTGCTATTATTCAGAGGACAGAGGAGCCAATGAAGCTAGGTGACCAGGAAGCTTTACTCTACCTTGTTCCTTAGGCCCTCTTGCCTTTAACAACTGCTTGCGTGATCTATGAGCTAGTGTCAGCCTTATGACTCTTTCAGTTTCCAAACGCTTGGGGTTTACAAGCTTTAAGCCATGCAGAATCTCCTTAGTGTTAGCAGATCTCTCTATAAGGTTACCGGTAGGTTTACTTGAAGACTTACCCTTAAGGATTGATAGTGCTGATGTTCATACATGTTTTGTGATTCTAGAGATGAATGAAGAGCCAAAGGATCCTCTTATTCTATGAAGACATTTCCTAGCAATAGCTGGCACTGTCATAAATGTTAAGAATGGACATAACCAGTTGTGATAGATGCAAAAGGAACGATTCATCTAAACAAAAAAGGGAGTGGAATGTCAAAGAGAAGAATCTGTCAAAATTCAACTCCAAGGCACTGTCAGTTATCTGGACATCACCTCACCAGAGATCAGTTTTAGATGGTGCGAGGATGCACAGAAGAAAAAGAAGGATGGGATTCTCTGGAGTCATCCTATGAAGGAACCAACAATGTCAAGAGGAATATAATTGATATGCTAGTAACTCAATTTGAGACACTCACCATGGGATAAGATGAGTTTATTGCGAATGAAGCCTTAATCCTTCAAAACAAATACAAAGATAAGAAGATGGTAAATAAATTATTAAGGTACCTCCCGGAAAAATTTCTTGCTCATCGATCTGCTTTTGAAGTGTTTCAAAACTCAGATGACATAAGATATGAACACGTTGTTGGTATGATACAAGCACATGAACTTGAAAGAAGTTCTAAAGGAGCGAGAAGAGGGAAAGGAATTGCCTTAGTGGCCAAGGAAACAATTGGAAAGACGAATTACATACACGCAATATAATGGAAAATAGTTTTAAAAGATGATGAAGGAGATATGATGCTTGTTGGGGACGATCCATGGCCGTACGTCTCTCTCTCTCTCTCTCTCTCTCTCTCTCTCTTTCAAATTATAGAAAAAATTAATGAAATCTTTTGATTTTGTATGCAGCGAGTTTAACAACATAGTGAAAAAATAGTAATATATTCAAAAGAAACGATAAAGATAATGAGATTAAGGAACAAAATCTCTGAAGGTGGCTCAAAGTTGGTAACATCAGTCTTACCATGTTCTGACTTACCACCAGATGCCAAAACAACAATTAACCTCTTTAATTGATATGATTATCTACCATTTTGCTTTCATGTCAAAGTAAATGCTTTTTAGAATTATCATATTTTTTTTATGTGTTGAAAATTTATGTTGAGAAAGGAAATGTATTTTTTTTTCTGAGTTTAGTCATGTTTAGTGTTTGCTTTGTGAGAAAGTTATGATGAGAGAGAGAAAGGGGTAAAGCAGAATAGAATACTATACATTAAAAAAGCATAACTTGTTTATTGCATTAGATAATAAACATTATCTTTGTCATTAAATTTAACAATATCATCACACGTTTTAACAAAATAATATTATGTATAACTAAGCTAAATCAAAAAAATATTTATAATTTTTAAAAAAGTTATTAATCTTTACCTAATTTATGATCAATTACTAATATTATTTTATCTTACCCATATAACTATATACAAATTTTTTTGGAATGTTTATAAATATTTTGGATCATTCCAAAAAGAATATATTGTTATTCTCAAAAACACCAAAAATCTATATAGCAAAAAAGCAACCTTCACTTCCACTCAATTTATTATATTAATAATAATTAAAAGCTATTAATTTATATGCTCACATTTATACAAGCACAAATTCAGAAAAATGTTTTAATCATTTTTTTTGAAATTCATATATATAATAACTTGCAAAAATATTCTATTAAATAATTATGATCTAGTAAAATTGTTTTTTGTAAAACCACAAAATAATTATAGATTTTCTGTGTATAGCTCAAAAAAGTATAGAAAAGGCATTGAAAATCTACCAAAAAATCACAAAAAGACTACATAGCAACAAAAAAAAAATATGAATCACAATTCTATAGATATGAACAAAAAAATATGGCTTTTTCCTGAGCTATAAGACCTCGACTCCTTTTTCGTGGCTTTTACGTAGCTCGTCTGTAACCACACCAAAGATTTTTACCAGATACATTAATTATATATGTCTCTACTCGGTAAATATTAAAATTTTTAATTTTTAAAAAGGTAAAAAAGTATAGTTTTTTTTCTCTTAAATAGAATTATCATAGTTTTAATATCATTTCAAATATTTAACACTAAATCTCTTTTCTAAAGAAATATCTTCTTTAAATACAACATGCGGCATATATCTTGTTTTATTTTTTATTAGTGAAACTAAATTTTATTAATTTAAATAAAGTATTTATAAATTTGGAAATTTATATTTTATTTGCAAAAACGATTCTAAAAATATATTATTCAATCCAAAATTACACTTACAATTAATATTTGAAGTGTTGGTATTTTTGTCAATTAAATATTAGCTAAGATGTTCGAGTAACAATATTTTCTGAATGCACAAATTCTGTTCAAAATGATATTAAAAAAGAATAAATAGAAACTTCCAGATATATTACAAATATAATTGGTTTTCCAAAACAGAGAACTAAAACAATATGCTCGAAGTTTTTTAAAACACCAATAGAAGAGTAAAAGAATATAAAATCTATCATCAAATGCATAAAATTTATCTAAAAGATGAGAGAAAGTAAACCACTTGTTCGAAAAATGCTTAAATTTTATCAATTCTGCGTAATTCGTCCCAAAATTATTAAAATGTATTCATTAGAAAAGAATATAAAATATTTAAGATAAACTTTACTATTTCTGAATAAAGAGCTGAGAGACTATGCCTTTATCATTTTGCTTTTATGAGCACCGTTTTATAATTATTTTGAAAGTAAAATCATCTAACTTTGACTTGGGGTCTAAAGTGCATTACATATATATTTTGGAAACATAATTACAGCTTTATTAAATAAGTTTTTATATTTTTTAAAAATATGTGTTTGACCTCTTTTTGGTAACCTTATAAAATCGTTAGTCAAAAATCTTTATATCTAACAACATATTAATGCACAATTTGTATACATTTTTTAAACTATAAATACATGTAATTTATCAAGCTTGTGACATGAAAAAATAAATAAAAATCGTGTAAAGGAGAAAAAGCAAACTTTTATAGAGAATATTTCAGCAACATTAAAGAGTTATCACTACTTTATTAACAAAGGTATTACACTAGTTATATAATTTTATGGATTATTTGATCATTCCGTATGGGTTTTTACTATCTTAGACATTTTTTCATTTGTTATATAATAGACTTTGGTGGGTTTTTTTTTGTTGCGATCGTATATTGGAAGTAGAAGTTTGAGACCCCTCTTTGGATAAAAGTTCATGATGACTAATCAACTTATGAATGTACAACATGAATTTCAAGGTATAATGAACAATTTTGAACTCGAGTTTAGTTCTTCATTTTCTCAGATATATCTATTTGTGATAATGTTTTTTTTTTGTTCAGCAATTGATGAAACCAAAAACTATTTGTACAATGAGTTATGGAAGATCTGTGCTGGACCTTTGTTTGATCTTCCAAAATATGGAGAAAATATTTATTACTTTCCTCAGGGGCATATAGAACATGTGAGGTTCTCTCGGTTTTATATTTGTATGTTCTCTTTCTCCTCTATTTTTTTTTGTCAAACTTTTAACCCATTTTCATGGCATTTACAGCTCGAAGCATATACAAAAGATGACTTGGGTCAAATAAGACCAATTTTTGATATTCCATCGAAAATTCGATGCAATGTTACTGATATTCAGCTTAAAGTATGTTTATTCGATCTTCATTTTTATTTGTTAAGAAATATATATGACGTATATTGGCTAAGACAGTAAATAATATTTTGTATATATGATTTCATCATAAAGAAGTACCTTATCATATATATTATGTTTGATTTTAGGTGGAAAATAATACGGATAACATTTATGCAAAAATTACCTTGTTGCCAAATATAGCAGTGAGTGGCAAATTCAAAATTTTATTTTTAAATTGATAAAGAAAATTTGTAATGCAGAATAAATACTTTTATAAATTTGTAACTATGTAGGAAGGTGAAATGCTTATTCCTAATGGCAATCAAGAAAATCATAATTTTGTATATTTTACAAAGGTTTTGAGTGCATCTGATGTTAGTATGCATGGAGGATTTACAATATTTAAAAGACACGCTGTTGAATGTCTTCCTCTACTGGTATTTTCACTTAGTTTCTCAAGCAAATGAACTTAAATGTGACTCAAATTGTTAACTTTCATATGACTTTTTGCATTGAAATGTTTTTTAGGATATGTCTCAGCCAACACCAACTCAAGAAATAGTTGCTAAAGATCTTCATGGTTATGAATGGAGATTTAAACATATCTTTAGAGGTAATAAATAATTTTCATATCAAATTTTATGATTAATGATTACTGATCCTCATTTATCTATAAACAATCAAATAGGTACACCACAAAGACATATTTTCACAACTGGGTGGAGTGCGTTCGTGACAGCAAAAAAATTAGTCGCTGGAGACTCTTTTGTATTTCTTAGGTATATATATATATTTTCATTTTCAATTATTATTATTTTTTTTTAGATTTTAAACTTATATTGTTTTGTTATTTAAGAGGAGAGAATGGAGAATCGCTAGTTGGAACTATAAGAGCAGCTCGTAAACAAAGCAATATACTTTCATCAGTAATTTCAAAACAGTGCATGCATAACAGAATAATTGCATCTGCACTAAATGCCACTAATACGAAATGCATGTTTGACGTGTTCTGTAAGCCAAGGTAATCAATAACATTTTGATATTCTACTTAAAACATCATATGATTAGTTTCTATAGCAAATATGCTTATACTTTTGTTCTTCATGTAATGATATAAGATCAAGCCAATTTGTTGTCAATTTTAACAAAGTTATAGATGGAATGAACAATAAGTTCAACATAGATTCGAAAATTATGATGCGGTTTGAGGGTAAAGATTTTGCTGAAATAAGGTAAATCTTAGACTTATAAATTTTGGTTATTTGTTTTCAGAATATGATTATTCAATTTTTTTTTGCTTTTGTTTTAACTGTATAAGATGTTCTGGGACGATTGTAAAAATACATGATTTCTCCTCTTATTGGAGAAATTCAGAATGGCGAAACCTAGAAGTAAAATCCTCTCTACTTTCACTTAATATCATATATTCTCTAAGAATATTAATTCATAACAGCAATAAAAATACTATTCACTAAGAATGTATATGTATTTGTAGGTGAAATGGGATAAGCCTGCATCAATCCCAAGACCTGATAAGGTTTCCCCATGGGAAATCGAACTCCTGGCGCCTACGTCAAATGTTACCCACTCAGCTTTACTTAAGAATAAACGGTCACGTCCTATTGATGAAATCGGTAAAATAATATTATTTAATAAGCTATGTTTTCCTTGTACAATTGTTCTCACTATAATTTTTATGTATAGGGGTTAGTATGTGGATTCCCACCTTAACTCAAAGCCAAGAAATTGGACAATCAAGCGTGAACTCTCCAGAAAATATTTCTAAGCTTAGCTATCGCGATGCAACTGGTTATTCAAAGAATTCATCTGATTGGCTAATGAGCAACTCAATCCCTACCATATCTAAATCGAATGAAAACAACCAAATGCTTATGTCCATTAACAAGAAAACAACCACCGATACAACATGTAGTTACAAATTGTTTGGAGTTGATCTGGTGACTCAAACAGAATCAAAAGATCCAATGGAACCAATAAGTCACCAAAACCCCAAAGTTTCCAGAATCTTCGAAGAAACAAAGTTTGACCAAATCAAAACTCTGACATCACCAGGAGAAAACCAAAGCAAATAAAACAATTCTCATAGAAGGTGTATCAAGGTATGGAAAATATCATTATTTTTTCATTCTTTACATATTACTCAGTTTCACCAAATAGTATACAGGAAAAAATGGGTATGATTCAAAAATTATATAAATCTAGCATATTTAATTAGTATTATAATATATTAGATAAAAACTTTTTTCAAAATAGTTTAAGATAATTATGCTTAGCTTGCAAGTTCTTGGTTAACAGGTTCAAATGCAAGGTGTAGCTATAGGAAGAGCTGTGGATTTAACTATTCTTGATGGATACAATCACTTGATCGATGAACTGGACAAACTATTTGATCTTAAAGGCGAATTGCATACACGCAATCAATGGGAAATAGTTTTTAAAGATGATAAAGGAGATAAGATGCTTGTTGGGGACGATCCATGGCCGTACGTCTCTCTCTCTCTCTCTCTCTCTCAAATTTTAGAAAAAAATTAATGAAATCGTTTGATTTTGTATGCAGCGAGTTTTGCAGCATAGTGAAGAAAATAGTAATATGTTCAAAAGAAATGGTCAAGATCATAAGATTAAGGAACAAAACCTCTGAAGGTGACTCAACGTTGGTAACATCAGTCTTACCATGTTCTGACTTACCACGGATGCCAAAACAATCAACAACCTCTTTAATTAATATGATTATCTACCATTTCGCTTTCATGTCAGAGTAAATGCTTTTTAGAGTTTTGTTTTATGTGTGGGAAAGTTATGTTGAGAAAGTAAATGTGTTTGTTTTTTCTGAGTTTAATCATGTTTAGTAATTGCAAAAGGTATGATGAGAGAAAGAAAAGGGTGGAGCATAATGGCATACTATACATCTGCTGATACGCAAATCCTTTTGAAAATGCATAACTTGTTTATTGCATTAGATAATGAACATTGTTTAACTAAGCTAAATCAAAAGAATTTTTACAATTTTAAAAAAGTCAAGAAAAATTTATCTAATTTTATGATCAATTACTAATATTATTCCATCTTACCCATATAACTATATACACAAAATTTTGGAATATTTATAAATATTTTGTATCATTCCAAAAAGAATGAAGACGACAATGTGATCTAGTAAAAAAATGCAATCATTTTTTTTTTGTTTAAAATTTATATAAATAATCATTTAGAAAAATATTCTATGAATTAACTGTGATCTAGTTAAATATTTTTTTGTATGACCACAAAATAACTATAGATTTTCAGTGTATAGCTCAAAAAAGTATAGAAAAGGCATTGAAAATCAACCAAAATTTTGAAAAAGCATATATAGCAACAAAAAAAAAAACTCACAATTCTATAGATATGGAAAAAAATGTGGCTTTTTCCTTAGCTATAAGATCAATTTCTTTTTTTGTGGTTTTCACGTGGCTCGTCTGTGACTGCACAAAAGATTTTTACCAGCTACATTAATTATATGTCTCTACTCGGTAAATATTCAAATTTGTAAATGTAAAAGAGAAAAAATATGATTTTAATATCTTAAATAGAATTATCATACTTTTAATATCGTTACAAATAATTAACATTAAGTCTCTTTTCTAAAGAAATATCATATTCAAATACAACATGAGGCATATATCTTTTTTTGTTTTTTTTTATTAATTTCAATGAAGAATTTATATATTTGGCAATTTATTATTTTGCAAAAACAATTCTAAAAATTTATTATTCGAACCAAAATTACCTTTATAATTAATATTTGAAGTGTTGGTTTTTTTTGTCAATTAAATATTAGCTAAGATGTTCGAGTAACAATAATTTTGGAATGTACCAGTTCTGTTCAAAATGATATTAAAAAGAATGAATGAAAACTTACAGATATATTACAAATACAATTGATTTTCCCAAACAGAAAAAATGAGTTCAACTCTGTTTTTTACTCAAACAATATGCTCGAAGTTTTTTAAAAACATTAGTAGAAGAGAAAAAAAATATCAAATCTACCATCAAATGCAAAACATTTATCTAAAAGATGGGAGAAAGTAAACCACTTGTTTCGAGAAATGCTAAACTTTATCAATTATGTATAATTCGTCCCAAAATTATTAAAATATATTCATTAGAAAAGAATATTGAAATATTTATGATAAACTCTACTATTTCTGTCTAAAGAGTTGAGAGACTATGTTTTTGGCATTTTGTATCTATGAGCACTGTTTTATAATTGTTTGGAAAGTAAAATCATCTAACTTTGACTTGGGGTCTAAACTGCATTACTGATAGAGGTAGAGTTTTACCCAATTTAAATTACTACTGCAAGTGCACAGCAATGCAATTGTAGCACAAATGGTTATCGAATTCCAAGAGAGTAAGCTACTAAATTACAGAATTTAGATTCAGATTATGCTAAGTCGAAATGAATGAATGTAAAGCGAAATAATTAAATAACTAAAACCAGGCGATTTGGTGATTATTTCTAAAGTCCAGAAGGCTAAAACCGCTAGGCCATGATAATTTGCATGTTGAATCCGAGAATATAGAATGCATGCAATCAGGAAATAATTAAAATCGTCTAGAACTCGAAACACAATGATAAAACTAATCAACTCTCGTTGCATAAATTATCTATGCCTAAATTCCAGAATTTCAAATCTCTTTGCAAATTCTAATAATTTAATCAAGCATTAACAATCAGGTTCAATTGCTCACAAAATTCCTGAATCAAATCTCTTTGTAGATAGTAATTTTGCTCATCTAAGACTAGTCAAGTGGTTAGCAATGTTCACACATCTATTAATCAATATACAGTGCGATTTCTAGATGATCAGTCCTAGAAATTGATGTGAATGCAAATCTAGATGAAGAACCAATGGATTTTCCTATTAGTTTAGCAATTATACAAACTCTTCATCAACATTTAAATCATCCTAACCTAACTAACAGTTTACTCATACATGGAGATGATGACACAAATCATAACTGAAGTAAACTGCATTAAAAATAAAAGAGTAGAGACACAAGGGTTCAAAATCTTCTCTAAAAGAGTACACGATTTGTCTCCCTAAATTCTCTGAATCAATCTCTCTCAAAAGCTCTCAAGAAAATCAGATACCAGCCAAAGCATGGCTGAAAAACCTAATATACAGACTAAAACACAAACGGGACACTTTTGCAAATAGTAAAACTTCTGAGCCAAAACTGTAATTCTTCCTTTATCTTTTAATAAACCATGAGATGCTTCCTCAAATGTGGGTGACGAGCATCACCAAATAGGGGGTGACGATCATCACCAGTGCAGAATCACATCTCCTTGTTGCTTCATTCGGAAAGAACTCCTGTTTTGCTCCAAAATGCTTCAAAGTCTCCAATTATGCTCCAATCATGCATTAACCTGTAAATACTCTAATAAGACTCTAAAAAGACCAAAAAGACTCAATAAAAAGGATTTATATCATGGTGAAAAACCATAAAAACTATGATATATCAACTCTCCCATATTTAGTATTTGCTTGCCCTCAAGCTAACATAAAACTAAGAACAGAGTCGAGGTTTGAGAACGCGGGAACTCACCTTCTCATAGATCATTGTTTTGACTGTTCATACTGTAATCCAGACACTGCAGTAGTTAAACCAAATCAAATCACCATGTACTTCTCCTTAGACATTCACAGCATCCCAAATTCAACTCATAAATTCACAGCATTGTCGAATAACTATCCTTGCTAAACCTCATTAGCAGTCTAAATATTCAAGAACCTTATAGATTTATTTCCATACTACACTTTAATAAATTAGCACTGCAATCTATCAACCTTTGGTACTCTTTCTCTCCCCCAGACTTATTCTTTTCTTATGTTTCACTATATTATTCAGGTGTAGGTAAATAATGGTATCCCGGGATAATCATAACCTTACTTTCACCTATATTCATCTCTTTAAAATGAAATACCAAGATCATTGGAAAATTTTCTACCCTTCACCCAAAGAGAATCACCTCAAAGTTTCGAAAATTTATCACATTTTTTTTTATCAAACAAGGGAGAGGAGTACCATTACTTTTCAAACATTGCATGCAATTTATGAATGAAGAATCAAGCTCTATGAACATCAAACTTACTAACTTTGTCTTTTTGAAGCTCAAGTTAAATAGACTTTACTGGAACTATGGATGTTTCTAGTTAACTGGTCAGCCTAAGGATTTTTCATTAGTGAGATATTGGTATTAATCATGCAGCAGTGGTCACTCAGATGAAACTATCAACATAAACAATCAAGAAAAGGTTCCTAGTTCCCAAATAATTTGGACTCAATAAAACAGATTTTTGACACAACTAATTGACTCTAAAAACAAAACACATTGTCAGTAACTACCTCCCCCAAATATAAACAACACTATCCCAAGTGTTATTAAGCCTGAAGTTGACAAAATAGAAGAAACAGAACGCAATGAGCAGAGATGAAAGTGCTACATGGCGTTGGACGGAGTGGCGAGCGTCACCCATTACTGGTGATGATCCTCACCAAGTGGTGAGCTCGAGTGACGACCTTGGTCGTCACCTGTTCGCCGAGTCTGCTCAAAAAATTCCTCTCTTCTTCTTTATATTTTTGTTTTTTTGTTTTTACTTCTTAGAGAATGAAAAATAAACTAAAGTATGAGAATTAGATAACTTACCAGTGGGTTACCTCCCACCAAGCGCTTGTTTTCGGTCATTAGCTTGACTATGTCGGTTAGACATCTGGTAGATCAGAAAGTGGTAGTGAATGCCTTGGAGAAGAATGTCTCCTCATCCATGGTGGTGTCTAAGCACTAGGTGCATGAGTTTTTCCAAGGAAGTGAGGAACAGTAGGCATGGCGGGTTTTAACCTGCAGAATCATCAAAAGAAACACCAGGCCCTCTAAGAATCTCGTTGCTTGCATAAGTGTGAAGCAACTTTTGCACATTTCTCATAATTCTCAGCCAATGCCTCATGAACAACCAGCTTGTTCACTTGCTCACTAGTATCCAACTCTTTGACATACCCAGCAGCAATGTCATCTGAATGTTTTCTGATTGGATCTTCAACTATTGAAGTCTTTGCAGAAAAATTCGGACCATCAATGGTGGAACTCCCTCTTAACTTGTTGATGTCAAAATTAATGACAATATCACCCAAATCAAGCTCTATTTCCCCTTTTTCACATCAATGATGGCGCCAGCTGTAGCCAAGAATGATCTTCCCAGAATAAGAGGATGTTTAAGTTCTTCAACATATTCCAAAACCACGAAGTCTGTGAGAATCATGCAGCCTTCAATTTTAACAGGAACATCCTCTAAGATACCTTCTGGGGTCCTTGTGGATCGATCAGCTAGGATAAGAGAGATCCTAACTGGTTTGAAATCAGTCATTCCAAGTCTAGCAGCAACAGAGGAAGGCATCAAGTTAATACTTGACCCTAGATCACAGAGAGAATGATAAAATCTCCCTGTTGAGATTGAACAATGAACAAAGTTTCCTGGATCAGATAGCTTCTCTGGAACCTTGCACTGAATCATTGATATATCATGGTTTTTATGGGTTTTAACCATGATATAAGTCCTTTTCATTGAGTGCTTTTGGTCTTTTTAGAGTCCTATT